GCCTGGAAGGACTGGACCAGGCCGAGAAGAGGCAAGCAGAGTGTGGAGTGGAGAGCCCAATGTCATTCGGAGTTCTCAGAGTGCTCTCCAGGTCCTTGTTTCATCTGTGCTTCTCATTATCTTCAAGATTATCATTGCCAGTTTACAGAGGGGGCTCTAGATCACGGGCACAAGGCTAAAACGTAGCAGAGCTGGGATAGGATCCAAGCCAGGGCTTCCTGTATTCATAACACAGAGGAGGCTGCACTGGGCTGAAGTAGATTAGGGCTGGGGTGTGGTTGGGTGGTCAGGATTCAGGGGTCCCTTTTCCGAGTGTCAGAGATGGTAAGACAGGGCGGTCAGCCCTGTGGGTGAGGTGGGCATCACTACCATTACAGCTGCTGGTGTCACCTAGAGGAGAGGAAGAGAGCTGGGAGCTGGGTGAGGGGTGAGGGAGACGGTGGGGGTGGGGAAAGGGCCAGGCAGTATTTAACAAGCCTCTACCACCCTACCAGCCTCCCAGCCTTGCAGGCAGCTGGAACTATTTCCACGGGGCTGCCAGAGGAGGACTCGGAGGGAGAGGCTGGGGGAAGAGAGGGTACCTACCGATCCACTCAAAATAAAATGTGCTCCCCCACTCCTAAAGCTGAGCTTTCTTAAGAGCGTCCTCCCTTGCTCTGGCCCTGAAAAGGCAGAGCATCTCTGCCCAGGGGCACCAAGGACCTGTCTTTGCAAACTGGCACTCCTGATGCAAGGTGATGAGGGCAAAGAAGGGGCTTGGACTTTCTCCAGGGACCAGTGGGAGCCACGGAAGAGCTGGTACAATGGACGGAGCCCCCGGCTGGGGTCAGGAGCTCTGTGCCTGTGTTTGTCAACTGGCAGGGAGTAGGGTGGCAAGAAGAAATCGCACCCTGTCATTTGACAAATGGAAACTGAAACTCAGAGACTAAGAAGTAACTTCGCCAAGGCGTGAAGGGGTGGAGAGATGAGAGTAGAATCCCAGACTTCCTGGCTGTGCCCTTTCGCCTGTGCCTGTACACAGGTTCCCATTAGGCATGTGTGCTATGTGTGGTGCATCCGTGTTGCTGGAGAATATGCAGACACGTGCGCATGGGTGCTACGGCTGTACGCAGATTGCGTGAAGGGGCCGCAGTGGGCGGTTGGACACACGTGCATCCGCGGGGTCGTGTCGGTGGGCGTGTTGTGTCTCCTGGGTGTTGTGTCAGGCATGTGAGCGAGGGCATTGGACTTCCCGTGTGACTTCCCTCCACGCCAGGACGGCAGAGGGGTGGGGGGTGGGGCAGGCCTGCTTTGGGAGGAGGAGGGGAGAGATCCCATGCCCGCCCTCGTCACCCCCACACGGGCCTCCCACCCTTCGACGTGGCAGCTAGCAGGAACGCCCTTTCAGTCGCAAGGCCCCACACTCCACCGAGAGAACCCGAGATTGCAGAAATTGCGTTTCCCTGACTCATGCTTTGGGCTGCGAGCATATTCTTGGCTCCTGGACAGCATCTCAAAGAACTGCCTGTGGTGGCCCTGGCCCTCTGAAGGAAAGGGCCCACAACGGATTGGTTTCCAGAGGCTTCTTTGGCTCCAGTTTTATCCCATGTAAAAAAGGATAAAAGCATTACACTTCCTTCCAATTAACGTCCTATAATTAAGAGTGAGATACCAGTTAGGTGCCCAGCGAGGCCAGCCGTAGCAAAGTGCCCCATAAACATCATTTCTCTGTCCTCCCCTTTCCCTACCTTCCCTTGGACAAATAGACTTAGTTTAAGTCTCAGGGCTGAATGCAACTCATTGTGCTCTAACATACTCCACTTAGCCTCCCTCAGTCTCAGTTTCCTCAGTTTTAAGATGGTGACATTCCTACTTACCCTGAAACAGTTAAATGTGATATGAGTACGGTGAACACTCAAATAATCTTTTATTTTTTGTCCTAGGATTCTGTGGGGGCAAGGACGTGTGAATCTAGCCACTGGGGCCAAAGCAAGCTGTTCCTGTAACCCCTGGTGAACCGGGGCCTGCCCATCTGGCTGGGTCAATTAGAAGCTGGTTTGGGGGAAGGAGGACTCGGGGTCCAATGTCTGGGCTCTGGCCCAGCTCGATCTCAGACTTGCTGTGTGATCTTGGGCAAATTTCCACCCCTCCCTGGGATGGGATAGATGTGGGGGGCAGGAACAGCTCCTGCAGGCAGCCGAAGGCACTGAAGGAATCCAGACCTGAAATGCAGGAGAGTCTCTCTGCAATGCAAGAGTGTTTCCTCCCTCCAAAAAGAGTGCTTTTTCCAGAAAGTGCAGCCTGGGAGTGTGGGGGAAGGGCCACAGCCAGGCCTGGGCTAGGCTCAGAGCTAAGAATAATGTGGCAAAGTCTCTCAACATTTTTTTTTTTTTGCTGATCTTGGAAATTTAAAGGAGCCGTTGTCTTTCTTCAAGGAGGCGGTGCTTGGAGCTCCAACGACTCAGGCAGCCACCTCCCATCACTCACTCACTCACTGTGCTTACCAAGTTCCTCTTCTGGGCATGCGCTATGCTGGGTACCAGGGACTCTGAGTAGGAGGCCGGGGTCTCCAGTGACAGTGACAATACAGGGTGATGACACATCAATCCTGCCATAGAGGAGGCTTCTGACCCAGTTTGAGCTACAGTAGCGATCTGGTAAGACTGCCAGAGGGTCCCTTTTCCTTAGGCATCAGGAGATTCTCTCTCTGTGAATGGGGGTATTAGTCCTTTCTACTCTGACCTTCTAGGATTCTAGGTTTATCTAAGGGCAAGAGCCTCGGCTTACTCTTCCCCCTCAGGGCAGTCACTGAGAGTCACAGCTTTCAGCTTACCCCTAAAAGTGTTGGTGAGGCCTCAGAGAGCTAAGAGATGGAACAGTGAGGAAGAAAGGGAATCTGTTCGATTTTGACAATCTAGACCTACTGGAAACCAAGACCAACCTTTCGTTTATTCCGCCAGCTTTGACGGACTCTTAGTGCATGGGCTGATTGCCATCTGAGGACCAAGCTGGGCGTGGGGGTGGGGTGGAGGGCGGGGTATGGCCTGTGACCCAGGCAGTTTCCTTGGATAGCAAAGACTTATCCTTAAAAGCAATACACAATTAAGGCAGGAAAGCACGTGAGAACCATGACAGCCACTCCAAGGAAACGGACACCACTCTATAGAGGAGCAATTTTGTTAATGATCAGACCTATCCTAAGAAAGAATACTGAGCTGCCTCTGTGGGACTCCCTGTTCCTGGAGGTGCTGTGTGCTTGCCTTTGGGATACTGTTGAGAGGCTTCTGCCTGGGGCTGTGCCCAGGAATCCACGACCTCTGAGATGCCTTGCAGCCCAGAGCCCCTGCTTCTTTTCTTCTAAGATTCTCTGACTATGAGATTTAACACTCTAAGATTCCTTAGATGTATTCAAAGATTCCATGGGGGCTCAAGTAAGATATCACCTTCTATGATGGTCACTTCAGGATTCAAGTTCGCTCCAATTGTGACCCTGATTCAAAGAGTCTGAACCTCTTCTAATCTAAGATTTCTCACAGTCTGTGTAATCAGCCTTTGAGCAGCAGCCCCTAACCCAGACTTCCAAGTTAGTCACCAGCAGCAGACTGGGGTGGCCAGAAAGGGCCCTCCCCCCACCCCTCTGCCAGGGACCCAGATGATTCATCCACTGGGTGCTGGGATTCATTTGTTCCCCACGATCCAAGGATGCACCAGGAAGAAAGAAGATACTCAGGATAGTTTATTGATTGAATGAATGAATGAGTGAGTGAATGAAGGGTCTCTCTACCCTGTCCCTTCCTCTCCACATTGTGCCCATTTGTTATCTATCCCTTCACTATTAGAAGACTTGTGGGAGGTATGGGCATGTCCTAAATAATCTTCTGCTGCCTTCTTGAGTTACCTACTAACCTGCACGTTTCCTTCTCATCATGTACATCCTTGAGGGCAGGGACTTTGTCCTTTTCTCAGCTGTATCTGTAGCACCTAGAAGAGAATTGAATATCCAGCTTAGCTCAGAGCTCAAGGGACTATCAGTTGTGGGAGGGTGGGGTGAGAGGGGTTGATAGACCTGGAGCCATGGGAGGAAACCCGGACAGGGAGGGGGCAAGGATAACCAAGGAGAGAGGGAGCCAGACTTACAGATGGGAAGGAAGCAACGAATGACAGCACCACGTTTCGCAGCCAAAGAAGGAACTGTGGCCTAGAAAAAGAAAGTAACTTGCTTAGGGTCACACAACATATTACTTAGTGGACAGTCCGGGTTCTCCTTCCTGCGCACCCCTCCAGACCCGGCCAAACCACGACGTTCCCCCGGAGTCCCCGCCTCTATCACTTCAAGACTTTCCAGGGTGAGGGTCCCCTATTGGACCCCTCAGGACCCCTCTTCCCCTCAGGGCAGTCACTAAGGTCGAGCTCCGGTGATCAGAAGAAGCTGCGGATGGAGAAAGATGCTGCTTCTCAGTTTCTGACCACCTCCCCTGAGACAAAGCAGAGGGGTCCTGATTGAGGACGGGGCGTGTCGGAGAACCCAATTAAGTTTCAGCTCTAAAACGGGGGAACGGATCCGCTTGGGGCAGAGACCTTGCAAGGGAAAGGGCTGCTGGAAGGAAGTGCGATCCGGGGTAAGATTGTGGGGATTGGGGATGCTCCTCTCTGGGGACCTGGACCCTGAAACTCAGTGTCCCCTCCAGCTCAGTGATTCGAACTACCCCCCTCCCCACCCCCCGCCCGCTCCCCACCTCCAGAACCGGAAAAGTCCGGAGTCTCCGCAGTGTCCACGCGCAGCGCAGGTCGTGCGGTCAGGTGCCCGGCCTCTCTGCTGGGGGTTCCCAGCGCCCCCCCCCCATTGGGGGGGGCAGTAGGACCCAGGGGCCGGGTGAGAGCGCGCAGGGGGAGGGGCGGCGGCCAGGGCGGTCTGGGGGTGGGGTGTGTCTTTGGGTTTTTATTTTTTTTTTTTTTTTTTTTTTGGCTGAGCAGGGGCGCCCTCCGGAAGCGTTTCCAACTTTCCAGAAGTTTCTCGGGACGGGCGGGAGGAGGGGAACGCCATATATAGATCTGGGGAGCCGGGAGCGGCGGAGAGTGGAATCCGTCCGCGGCTTGAGTGGGACGACTGTCCGGCGCCAGCCCACCCAGCCCAGGTGAGGGAGGGGGCCGGTCTGCGTGCGGCGGCGGGCGCTTTGGGGGTGCCCCGGAGAGTGAGAGAGGGCGGGAGGCCGCCGGGAGGGATTGGGGGCCAACCCAGAGCCCGCAAACCGGAGTCCTTGGCCCTTAGGGAGCAGCTGGGGCGTTCGGGGTCGGGAGCCTGGGGCGGCTGAGTGAACCTGTAGGATTAGGGCGAGATCAGGGCAAGGGTGGGGAGTCGGGGCGCTCAGAGGCTCGGAAAAAGTGCAGGCTTCCATGGGAGTTTGGGGCAGGGGTGCTGACGGCAGGGAGGAAACAGTGGGGCTGGGAGCCAGGATGCTGAGACTGCCTTGTGCAGGAACCAGAAGGGAGGAGGTAGGGTCTGGGGGCCTCTCCAGCAGGGGTGGGAGGCCAGGCCAGCTTTGCAGTTCGGGGCGCCTCCACCTCTAGGGCTGAGGCCCGGGGGCCGGCGGAGGTAGGTGGACCAGCCTCCTGACCGGCAGGGGGGCATCTGCGCCTCCTGAAAGCAGGGTGGTAGGAAAGGAGATGAAGTAGTCTTGGCTTTTCCTGGGAGGGGTTCTTGGGATCCCCACCGTTTGGGAAGAGAAGCCACGAACGGTGGCTCCATTTCTGATCAGCAGCCTGCATGTGTCCATGTTGGCAGCTAAAGGAGCAGCTTGACCAGTGTCCCCCACCTCCCTTGGGAAGGGGGTGAGGAATCAGCAGGCTCCATATCCCCCCACCCAAGAGGGAAGGGTTAGCTGATTAGAAGGCTTTGAGTCGCCCACTCTCAACTCTGTCCACTGCCACCTGGTTCTTGGAGTGGCTGCAGGGTTAAGGCTACTTCCAAAGGCCAGGGTTCCCTGCCCCCAGCCTAGGGACATTCCTGAGGCGGCCAGAGTGGAGGAAGAATGAAACCACTTCCAGCATGGCCAGGAGGCCCTGCCCCTCCTCTTCTCCGTTTCCGGCAGGTCCCTCTGGGCTGTAGGGCCCGGATGGAGGGGAAGGAGGCTGGAGGGAAACTGGGGGCCTTGGTTCCCTGGAAGCCTCTGGCTGGCACCACACCCTCCTGTCTTCAGAAGGTTCACCTGCCCATCCCCCCCTCCTGAGGCCTCTGGATCCAGTCCTTTTGTTTCTGGTCACCGGAATTCCCAGCAGAAATGGTTTTGTTTTGTTTTGTTTTAACCTCACTGTGTAACAGGATACCACATCCAGGCTTCCTCCGGGGGCTCTGCGGGTGCTTCCCAGGAGGAGGAAGCCCTGCACTGGGAGGCCTGCCCCCCCCACTGATCCTGTGGGACCTGGGGTGGCTCCCTGCTCCACTCTGGCCTCAGTGGCTCCCGCTGTACAGTGAGGTCCCTGTGGAGCTGGGACTAGCTGTGCCTTCCTTTGTGCCAGGGGCAGTGTAGATGGGGTCCCATGTTGGGGTTGGGCCTTCCAGGCCCCGCCTCACCACCGCTCCAGCTCTGCCCTAGCCCATCCTCCTCATTCTTCTGTTTTCTTTCAGAATGAAAAAGGCAGGCACTGACCTCCCCCTGAGGCAGTTTCCAGGTACTTTAGACTCCCTCAAAGTGTTTGAGATCCTCTCTGGTGACCCCTAGCATTTGCTTCTCTTCCCTCTTACTTACAAAAACCCAGAATCCAGTCTCAACTTAGTCTGGCTAGCTGTGGGCACAGCCCTTGGCTCTCTGATCGAACAGTTTTCTTTGTGGGACTGTAAAGTCGTCTAACCTCAGCCTCAGGGCTGGGATTTCTCTGTGGCAACGCGGGCTGGGCTGTGGGAAGCTGGCTTGCTTGCAGTGACTTGCCTCCCTCTGTTGCTGCTGCTGGGTCAACGTTAAGGGCGGCCCTTCTCCGCAGCCACACATCTCCCTGCACTTCCCTGCAGAGACCCTGTGCAGATTCAAGGAGGCTCCGGGCCACCCCCTGGGACCTGCACCCAGGCCTCCTGCTTCCCAGGCTGGAAGCCCCTCTCTGCCGGCGGCGGATGGAGATAATTCAGTTTCCAGCCTGCCACGTCACCTAGAGCGGGAGCTCGAGCAGGAGGAGCAGGAGCGCGGCTGCGTGGCTGCCTGAGGAATCCCAAACTAGTCATTTGGAGCTTTCTTGGAAAGCCCCTCCCAGCCCTTTGAGGTTCTGGTTGGCTGGGGGTGGGGGCTGTCAAGATGGTGTCTGCCACGTGGCAGGGCTGGGAGCTGGGCTCCTTGACTCTCTCCCAGTGGGATACTAGTGGCCTTTTCCCCACCCCCCGCGTCTGTGCTCTGGCATCAGCTATATGGACTAGAGGTGGCCTTCGAGTTGAGTGACCAAATGCCTGTTGTCCAGGCAGAATAATCAGTAGTGCCCCATTTTACTCTCTTAGGCATCCTTTTGTGTGAAGTAATTCTTCGGTCTTTCTGCTTTTGAGGCCCCAGGCCTGATGGGGAAGGAGCTAGGGCTGGGAGGAAGGTGGGCCCTGAGATCCCCCCTCTTGTCTGCGCTCTAGGGTACAGGTCTCTCTTGGGCCTTGCGCCCCCCCCCCCCCCCACCGCTTTCTCCACGCGTCCTTTGCTTCCCCCTTTACGCTGCACCTTCCGAGAGGTGGCCGCCCAGAGAGGGGGGACCTGCCTCGGTTCACAGGATGGCTACAGCAGTGGAGTCTTTCCAGAGACCCAGTGCTCTTGCAGGCAGGCCGAAGTCCTGAGGGTCCTCTGCTAGGATTCTCAATTTGGAGGTCCTTAAGGACCCCAGGATGGGATCCGCTGGAGCAGTGGGACCCCAGCCTCCACCAGAGTTCCTACCAACCCTTCCCTTCCCCCTATCCATCTTGCCTGAAAGTAACAGGGAAGTATCCCATGTGGAGAGACTGTCCTGATTGGAGGCCCCGGGAGGAGAGTGAGGCTTGTTTTGGGGACCAATGCTATTGCTGTGGTTTGGAAGGGATCCTGAGGAGAACCCTGAAACCACAGAGCGGAGGGCCTGTGTGATAGCCAGGCTCTGTCAGATTGGAGGGCAGAATGGAATCTGAGGTGGACCCAGCTTCCTGTGAACACGCTTCTGGTTAGCCTCTGGTGAACGGGAGGGGGTGTCATTGCTCCATTCAACTGTGACTTACTCCTCCTTCAGTATCCTTCCTCTCAGGAAACCTACCCCCCACCCCACTTTTGTCCTGGGGATTTCCCATCCATTCTCGGGACTGTGGACAGATGGACAGGCATGTCCCTGCTAGGATAGAGGCCTGGGGCGTGGAGACCTAGACCTTTATGGCTTGGCAAATGGAGACTGAAGCTGAGAGAGGAGTGGACACACACTCAAGGTCACCCTTGGGCTGCAGAGTTTAGCATCTGGGTTCCCCCATTTAGTGAGTGAGCCAGTGGATGACTCATTAACATCCCAGGGCAGGGTAAAAGGCACAGAGGGAGGGGCAGTCCTTCATCCTGTCCCAACAGGACATCCTTTGTCCAGGCACCTGAGCTTCATGCAGACCCTCAGTTCATCCGCCACATTTTTCCACTGGAAAAGGGTTCCGGGGTCATATGAGATCAGAGCTAATCTGTATACAAAATGAAGATCCTAAGTCTGCCCAAGTGGCCCTGATTTTTGTTCATTGAGGAACAGTTGAGGCCCATTGTGTGCTAGGCACTGGAGATGTAGAGGATAACCAGACTGGCTCGATTTCTTGTCCACTCGGAGTTCATAGACTACTTAGGGATGGAGATCACGTATAATAAACACACAAGACTGACTGTTGTAAGTTCTGTGTAAGAAATCAATAGGGTGGAGCTGTTGCCTTGCTAGAAACCCTGCTCCGGATTAGGAGCTCAAAGAAGGCCTCAGAGAGACTGGGCAGACTGAGACCTCTGATCTGGGCAACTCTTGAGTTAGGTCTGGGTTCCCCGGAACTCTGAGCTCTCTTGATCCCATCTGCAGGGGACTTGGTGGCTGCCAGAAGGCTGGGGATGGTTCCTGGGGAAGAACATCTAGGGTTTCAGGGCCACCCTCTCTCCAGCTCTCACAGGTCCCCCGTGGTGCGTACAACCCGCCTCCCAGCCATGCGCCTCCTCGCGCTCATCGGCGCCTGCTGCCTCCTGGCCGTGGCTCTGGCCGCCGAGGTGAAGAAGCCCGCGGCTGCTGCAGCACCGGGCACGGCAGAGAAGCTGAGCCCCAAAGCGGCCACGCTGGCCGAGCGCAGCGCCGGCCTGGCCTTCAGCCTGTACCAGGCCATGGCCAAGGACCAGGCGGTGGAGAACATCCTGCTGTCGCCCGTGGTGGTGGCCTCGTCCCTGGGGCTCGTGTCGCTGGGAGGCAAGGCGGCCACGGCCTCCCAGGCCAAGGCGGTGCTGAGCGCGGAGCAGCTGCGGGACGAGGAGGTGCACGCGGGCCTGGGCGAGCTGCTGCGAGCGCTCAGCAACAGCACGGCGCGCAACGTGACCTGGAAGCTGGGCAGCCGCCTGTACGGGCCCAGCTCGGTGAGCTTCGCAGAGGACTTCGTGCGCAGCAGCAAGCAGCACTACAACTGCGAGCACTCCAAGATCAACTTCCGCGACAAGCGCAGCGCCCTGCAGTCCATCAATGAATGGGCGGCGCAAACCACCGACGGCAAGCTGCCCGAGGTCACCAAGGACGTGGAGCGCACGGACGGTGCCCTGCTGGTCAATGCCATGTTCTTCAAGCGTGAGTCCAGAGGGGTGGGGCGGCCGGGCACAGAGCCCTCAGCAGCTGGGGTGGGGAGCCAGCTCGGCACGTGTTGCCCAAGTGCCCGACAGGTGCCAGGGCAGAGGGCGGACGTGGCGGTGGCTGAGCCGAGGGTCCTCCTGAAAGAGTTCTCTGTCCGGTGGAATCAGCTGGACCCTGACTGTAGAGAGCTGTTCCTCATAGCTTCAGGCAGCATGTCGCGGGGCCAACGCCCGTGTCCCCCAAAGCGGGGAGCATGTACTCTGTGGACTGGGCGCTGGGGTGGGGGGGAAGGTGAGCCCCAAAGACTAGAACGGAAGCCTGTGGCAGAGAGAGATCCAGGGTGTGCAGTTGGGGGGCTGTGTTCTGAGTGGGGGCCGTCTGTTTCTGACCTTGCGTTCTGCTTCCCACTCCAGCGCATTGGGATGAGAGGTTTCACCACAAGATGGTGGACAACCGAGGCTTCATGGTGACCCGATCCTATACTGTGGGTGTTACCATGATGCACCGCACAGGTGGGTGACCTGCGGAGCCGGGGGCCGAGGTGGGGGGGTGAGGGCGCTCGGGGCCTAGGCCGCCCCCAGCCCTGCGTGCCCAGTGCCCTCTCGGCTCTCCTCCCAGGCCTCTACAACTACTACGATGACGAGAAGGAGAAGCTGCAGATTGTGGAGATGCCCCTGGCGCACAAGCTCTCCAGCCTCATCATCCTCATGCCGCACCACGTGGAGCCCCTCGAGCGCCTTGAGAAGCTGCTGACCAAGGAGCAGCTGAAGATCTGGATGGGGAAGATGCAGAAGAAGGCTGTCGCCATCTCCCTGCCCAAGGGTGTGGTGGAGGTGACCCACGACCTGCAGGTGAGGGATGGCCCAACTTGGGGTCTGCAGGGCCTGGAGGAGAGGGGTGCTTGGGGCACCCATTCGTCAGCTCAGCCGGTCTGTCCTGAGCCTCCGTGGGTGTCCAGGTAGTACTGGGCGCTGCTGCGGGGAGAGGCCTGGGACCTGCCTTTGGGAACATAATGGTGACATCCGTAGTTAAATGCGATAGAGCGCCTGCTGTATGCCAGACACTCTTCAGAGCACTTCGTAGATGTTAACCTTTTAATCCTCGAAACAACTTCATTAGGTAGGACTAATGAGCTTCTTAGAGATGAGGAAACCGAGGCTCAGGAAGGTTAAACAACTTGCCCACAGTCACATAGACGGTAACTCAGACATCTGGCACCAAGCTGTGCCCTAGTCCCGTACCGTACTGCCTCTGAGCCTGAGGTGCCCCCAGTTCTAGACTGTTCCAGCCGAAAGGTCGTCCTCCATGCAGCAGTAAGACGAACAATGGCTGTCAGCAGTGAGGCACTCGGGGTGGCTGGAAACTGAACCCACGCATTCAACGTTATCTTCTCCTCATGACCGCCCTGGGTGTTGGCCAGTGGCTTGAGGGGAGGCTGAGGTCACCTTGGTTAGTGAGTGGTAGAGCTGTGATGAGTCCTCAGGGTGAAAATTCAAGGTGGCCTTTTTGTCAGTCGGGAGAGATTTTTTTTTTTTTTTTTTTAACCTACTCAAAAGGGAAAACTTTTATCTCATTCGTGCCTTGGATGCCAGAAATGGCTCCTTGGTAAGCTTCTCACTCACGGGATTGATTCAGATTCACTGCTGACACTGTGGAGAGAAAGCTTGTGATGAAATGGGGCTTCGGCTCCAGACCACGGACTAGTGGCCCTTGCGTGGCCTGTGCTGTGGATCATGCTGAGGTGTCCAGAGAGGAGCCATCACCACGTCCTGGACCCGTCCAGGTTCTTCCCCAGCTTTTCCTTCTGCCGTGGCTGCCCTGACGCCATCCTCCCTTTTTTTCTCCCGTGTCTTCCTGGAACCCTGGGTGGACACACAAGTCCATGGGGTACATGGAGTTGAGAAATTTGACGTGTGTGACTTGTGTAAGGTCATTGGGACTGGAGTCGCTGGGCCTAGAACACCTGTCTCAGGACCCCCTGACCCTCAGGACCCCAGCTCAAGTGCCTATTTGGCCTCACCAGGGAGGTGGCCTGTCCTGCAGAAACCTGGGCCCGGAGGCTGCTGGTGACTCGGCCAGTAGTCCTTCTCTGCAGCGTCTTCCTCACTGAGCCACAGGGCGACCAGGCTCCGGTCGTGGGGGATAAGGAAGGCTTCCTGGAAAACGGGGTGGTTAAAGCATTCTACAGGGATGGGGGTGGCCATTGAGACACCATCGAGGGTGCCGGCTGTTCAGCGAGACCGTCGAATAAAGTGCTGGGAGAGGTATGCTAAGGGGTAAGGCCACAGCACAAGCACAGTTGACATACGAAAGCGCTTGTACGTGGCTTCCGGCGGCTCTGCAGAGCCATGGCAAGTGTGTGTGTTGGGAGTGGGGTGCATGTTTGTGGGGGTGCGTTTTAATTTTGTACTTTGGGAATATGTAAAAACATATATTGGGGCGCCTGGGTGGCTCAGTTGGTTGAGCGTCCCACTTCGGCTCAGGTCATGATCTCATGGTTTGTGAGTTCAGGTCCCACATTGGGTTCACTGCTGTCAGCGCAAAGCCCGCTTCGGATCCTCTGTCCCCCTCTCTCTGCCCCTCCCCTGCTTGCAGTCTCTCAAAAATAAACAAACATTTAAAAAAAGATGTATCACGTATACATTAAAACTTGATCAGTGTAATGAACTCTCTTGTATCCATCACCCAGCTTCAATCATCAGCAGCTCGTGACCGATAAGGAGTCATCGATACACAGCTATTTCTCCCCCAACAGATTATTTTCTGTTAATTGTTTGTTTAGTTTTGAGAGAGAGGGGGAGAGAGCATGATGGGGAGAGGGGTAGAAATAGAGGCAGACAGAGGATCCGAAGCAGGCTCTGTGCTGACAACAGAGAGCCCGATGTGGGGCTTGAACTCACAAACCATGAGATCATGACCTGAGCCAAAGTTGGACACTCAGCCTAACCAGCCAGGTGCCCCACCCCCATCAGATTATTTTGAAGCAATTCCCAGGCAGAAAGCACCCTGGACAGGTTTTAAAGCCCCAGGATTATATGGTCATAGCTATCCTTAGAGTAGTCTTCCTTACATTTGAGCGTGCCAAGAATTACCTAGAGATTTTGTTAAAGAAGCTTCCTGGGTCCTCTCCCAGAGATTCTGATAGGGGGCTCTGGGAGAGAGGGCGTCAGGAGACGTGTGTTCCATATAAGCTCCCAGGTGGTGCCCGTACTGGCAGTCCGTGACCCGTGCTTTGAGAAGCACTGATCAAGATTGCTCAGCAGGACTGGGGATAAATTCTGCCTTTCCCCCGAGTCTCCGTGTCCTTATCTGTTATGTGGCAATTAGAGGTTCTTGCAGGGTTGTCGTGAGAGTTAAGAAAGCAGTGGTTCGAAGTGCCTACATCATGTCTGGCATACAGGAGGTGACGGGGAGGTGGTAATCTCTGCTCTGAGGAACAGGGTAGGAGGTGATGGGTGGTGAGGGTGGAGGGTGCGGGTCTAGGAGCCTTGCCCATCTCGTGGCCTCACCTGGCACCTGCCTCATCCCGCAGAAACACCTGGCCGGGCTGGGTCTGACTGAGGCCATCGACAAGAACAAGGCAGATTTATCACGCATGTCGGGCAAGAAGGACCTGTACTTGGCCAGTGTGTTCCACGCCACTGCCTTCGAGTGGGACACAGAGGGCAACCCCTTTGACCAGGACATCTATGGGCGCGAGGAGCTGCGAAGCCCCAAGCTCTTCTATGCTGACCACCCCTTCATCTTCCTGGTTCGAGACACCCAGAGTGGCTCACTGCTGTTCATTGGGCGCCTGGTTCGGCCCAAGGGTGACAAGATGCGAGACGAGCTGTAGGGCCCCAGGGTCGTGGGATGGCAGGAGGCAGCCGAAGGCTCCTGAGACACATGGGTGCTATGGGAGGGAGGGAGTTGAGGTACTGACCTTGGATAGTCCATGGGGTAGGGGTGGGCAAACAGAGCAGGCTTCCTGTGTGTCTGAGCAGACTTCCCAGCCATCTGCTTGGACGTGGGCTCCCAGATACCATGATGCTGAGCCCAGGAACCCCAGGGACCCCACATTCTGTGGGACCTGGGCAGTAGTCATGTCCTGCCCTCAGAGCCCTGGGTTTAAGCCTGCCTCAATCAGTGTTCATATTTATAGCCAAGTGCTTTCTCATCTGTGAGACGGAATCGAGCTAGTGGGGGCTCAGCCCAGGCCCCGTGGAACGGGGGCCCTCTTTCCCTGACCCGACCATCACCTCAGCCCTCTCTCCAGCTCTATTCCAATCCTCTCCCAACTTCCCTCAACTATAAAATGAGGTGCTGCACCCCCTGGGACAAGTACTCCCATGATGGCCCTGGCCCCAGTTGAGGGGGGTGGGATCGGGAAATAGCTCATGGGGTGGGGGTGGGGGCTCATGGGCGGATTCTGGTCAGGCATCATGGGGATGAACTTTTTTTCTCCGTTTGTAGATTTTCAAAGATGGGGAGGGAAGGGGGAAAATGAGCCTTTGTTGCTGTCACATCAAGAACTTATTTGTACAATTTTTTTTTTCAATAAAACTTTTCCAGTGAAGTTTTGTTGGAGCATGGAGGGTGGCTGGATCAGAGATTCCCATGTCATTTTTCCCGGGAGACAAGGGCTCCTTGTGTTAAGCCAGGGCCCGTAGCAATATGGTGCTGAAATGCTGGCAGATAACCGCAGGCCCCCTACATGCCGACTCGGGAAATGGTTTTGGCTTTGGCCGCCCTGGAGAGGTGGCTTTGGGGCTGGGGTGACAGTGCTGGACCTGGAGCCCGGGGCATTCTACGCTGGAACTTTGGCTCTCCAGTCTTCAGTTTCCTAGCTTTTCAAACTGATCTCATCCATAGCCAGGTTAGATAGGCTGCCTGACTGGGCCTGGACTTTGGCAGGAAGGAGCTTGTGGGATCCTTGTCCCATTTGGGTGTGCAGCAGGAAAGGAGGAGGGACCTGACACAGCCCTCCTCACACGGTCCTTGGGGCTCTTGACCCCATAGCTCAGGAGGAGAGAGGGTGAGTGGGGCAGAGGAAACTGGATTCGACGCTGCTTGCTGGCAGTGTAGTCTCGGGCAGGTCACTTCCTCTCTCCGGGCGCCTCTCTGGCTTCCCTCTTCCACCAACTTTGCCCTGGGGGTTGTTGGTCCAGGGAGGGGAGCCCCTGCCTGGCTGGGCAACCCAGTTGGAGTCTTCCATGATGTGAATGAGGCTGCAGAAAGGCCAGCTGATTGACTCCTGTTAGTACCAAAACAGCATTTAGAGTACCGCTGCCAGAGCTCTGGGTCTGTCCTGTGCGGTGGACCCGGTAAATCAGATGTCTGCCCTCAGGGGCTTCATCCGGAAGTGGAAGCCTATAGTGACAAGCATGCTCACTCCTCACTGTGTTCCAGTCCCCTGGGTCATTCTGTTCCAGACTTGCTGTACTCGTTCCCTGCCTCAGGGTCTTTGCACTAGCTCTTCTTTCCGCCTGACAAGCGGTTCTTTGTCAAGGGTACTTTTTTTTTTTTTTTTTGTCATCCGGAACTCAGCTTGAATGTAAGTAGCAATTCCCCTGCCTCGGTGTCTATACTGTGTTTTCTCTCTCTTTTTTTTTTTTTTTAATTTTTTTTTTTTCAACGTTTTTATTTTTATTTTTGGGACAGAGAGAGACAGAGCATGAACGGGGGAGGGGCAGAGAGAGAGGGAGACACAGAATCGGAAACAGGCTCCAGGCTCTGAGCCATCAGCCCAGAGCCCGACGCGGGGCTCGAACTCCCGGACCGCGAGATCGTGACCTGGCTGAAGTCGGACGCTTAACCGACTGCGCCACCCAGGCGCCCCTGTGTTTTCTCTTTTTACTGACTCCTTAATGCTGTGAAATTTTCCACCTATTGACACATTCACTGGCTGTCCCCACTATTAGAATGGAAGCCCCATGAAAGTAGGGGCCACATTTTGTTAATCACTGTATGTCCTCCACCTGGATTCAGCATCATCCCCACATAAGACACTGAAAATATATTTGCTGAGTTAGGAAGTGAAGCAGCTGCGCTAGAAGGGTAAAAGGGCTGTGGGAGTACAGAGGGGGAAGCCGTGACTGCCAAGGGAGATACAGAGGGCTCCCAGGAGGAGGTGACATGTGGGCTGCCTTGAAGGGTGAGTAGGTATTCTTTTTTTTTTTTAATCAGAATAATAATTTAAATATCAGCTGGTACTACCTTTGCGTTTTGCTTCTAACACCACGTTTGTGCAAAACACCATGTCAGTCTCTTGGTGTCCCGTGCTATGGACATGGATATAATTTTATCCAAATTATCCACATTTGGATATAATTTTATCCAAACCTCTTAGCAGCTTGGCTAAGTAGGAATTCTCTCTGTTTTAGTGGTGAGATCACCAAGGCCAAGGGAGGTTAAATAACCTGCCTGAGGCCCCACAGCACAGCCAGTGGGGCTGAGCTGGGAACTGCTTCTAGAACGTTGGCTAGTTCTCCCTCCATGCCATGTGGGAAGGGCCGGAGAGGAACTGGCCAGATTCTAATACTGAAGGTGCATAGCCTGCTCATAGTCTATACATGTCATCCCACATCTTCCCCATGACGGCCCAGTTAGGTGGGAAGTCCTCCTAATCATACTAGTGTGGCTCAGAGATGGGCAGAGCCTGCACAAGAACCCAGGCCTCCTGGACCCAAAGTTCAGCCTGCAATAGCGCCCTCAGCAGGTGGGAGTGCCCCACCAGAGGGGAGCTCACAGTGAAAGAAGCCAGGCCTGGGGGTGGGGGCCACCCAGATGACCCAAAGGGGGCCCTGAGGTCACCTGCGGCCATCTGGGCACATGTGGGGAGGGTGGTGAGAGGTCTGAGCTCCCTCCTCATCAAGAAAGGTGGACTTGCTAATGTGGAAGGTGACAGGGCAGGAGGCAGAGGTAGTCAGGTCAAGGTTGGGTTCGGGGTCAGACACCAGGTCAGTGCCACCAATGGCCCATCCTGCCCTGTGTGGAGCTTTCCTGTTGCCTGGAGGCCATTGGAGGGCTGTCCTATTATTCCCACCATGCTGCTTGCTAAAGCCGCAGAGATGATGATGATGACTGCTGGATTGTGAGGGTCCTGGATGTAGTGCAAGTGCGGGAAGGTGGGGATGAACTCTCTACTGGGCACCGACTCGGGGCCTGGCACCGCTGTGTCTGATCTCATTTAATCCTCAGCGCTTACCTGAGGGGTAGCTATTACTGTCCCACGTTACAGATGAGAGGGGGAGTGGCCAGCCCAAGGCCACCCAGCAGGTCAATGACGGGGACTGGCCTATATGGGAATCCAAGCATCCTGGCTGTGGAGGAGAGAAGTGGACAGGCATGAGTGCCGCACTCTACAGTTCATAGTGGGTAGTCACCAGTGGGTTTCCATGTAATCTTAACCCCAGTCCCTGCAGCACGGAGCTCGTTACCCTGCATCCATGGAAGAGTACCCCAGCTGAGATCTTGAGAGCAGGCCCTGGTCTGCCTGTGTCCTGCCACACCCCATACCTAGCACAAGGCCTGGGACACAGCAGGTGCCTAATAAATGCTCACTCAAAGAAATTGTGCAGTGGGTGCTCTGGTGCTTAGCAGCAGAGGCACTGGAGCCTGTCAGACCTGACCTGACCTGTGGTCCTGCATCCCGGCTTTTCCCTGGCATGGTGACCTGAAGCTTCTGAGAAGATGAAGGCAGGAGCTGAGGCCCTGGGGCCTGGGTTCTGCAACTCGCATCATGTCACCTCCATCACATTCTGTTGGTCGAAGCAAGTCATGAGGTGTGCTGAGATTCCAGGGGCAAGGAATAGACTCCATCTCTCGATGGAAGGAGCAGCAAAATGGCGTGGGCATGTTTTCAATCCACCACCCGGGGGGTGGCTGGTTCTCTTCATGCCTCACTCCCATTGTTTCCAGTCCCAGAACTGGAGTTCTGTGCTTGCCTGACTCGGGGGCGCTAGTTCCGGAGTCAGATCTGGAAGGAGGAAGCATACACATCAAAAGAATCACAAGGTTTTGCTAATTTACATTAGCACAAAATCTGGAAAACATGGGAATGTTTACTGTGGGTGCTAGTCCACAGAGAGAGGAACATAATTTCATTGGCCTAAATTTGTTTGTTTATTTATGTATTTATGTATGCATGTGTGTGGTTATTTATTTGGTGGGAGGGGCAGAGAGAGAGGGAGAGCAAGAATCCCGAGCAGGCTCCGCACTGTCAGCACAGAGCCGGACCCAAGGCTTGAACCCACGAACCGTGATATGACCTGAGCCGAAGTCCAGTTGGATGCCCAACCGACTGAACCACTCAGGTGCCCCCGAATTTATTTATAACACAGGATACATTGACCTGAGATCCTAGATTTAGTGTGCCACTTTGCGCAGTGAGGGGCGGTTTTCATTGTTGGCTTAGCTTTTGGGTTGACCGAACCTCGGATTCAATAGGGAACTATGAACTATGCCTCATTGATGTTGAAATGCCAGGACTTTCTTGCTTTAAAATAGGGGAAAGAACCCGGACACTAAGGGAGGGAGGAATATTGAGGTGGATTTACCCTGCGTGACCCACTCACCTGCCCCCTAGCCAAGTTCCACCCTCCCCAACTTCCTTTTCTAGAACCTCCAGGAAACTCCCTTCACCAAGATATTGCGAACTCCATTAGTGATAGGAATGTCTTTGAGACAGGATGTACTACTCGTTCTCTGCAGGCTAGGGATGCCAGTGGAAGAGGCTGCCACAGAAATGGGCTCTATAATTTTAGTGGAAGTGCTGGGATCCCGGAGGAGCAGAGCACACACGGCAGCACTTGGCCTGGGACATCAGACATCAGGTGGTAATCAGAATGGTTTAACTTACATCTTTATCTTTATCTTTAGCAGAGGCTAATTGTTCAAAGACCAAATAGGACCAACAGGCAGCCTCTAAACCCTCCTTAATCTGTATAACAGAAACAGCAAAGCAATAAGCGAACAAAACCTTCCATGTTGGGCAATGGAAGCCCCACTTGAGCCACTATGAAAGAGAACCTCAGTTCCCTCACCCAAAGCCCCTTGAATGGAAGAGAGGCCAGTACACTTCGGAGCAAACCCTTCAATAGCACCCCAGACGCATACTGCAAATCTTTCCTGGGCCATTTGCCAGAGAACTGTGCTCTGTGAAGGGAAAATACACAGACTTTTCAGGGATTAGCAGACCTTGAGTCTATTTAATGCTAATTTCCGAGGACACAGAGAACCACTGTGCAGAGGCTCCGGCAGATCAGGTGATAATTGGAGTTTTGACCTGAGTCCAGGCATGCTGCGCCCCAGGCCTGAGACCCTGGACTCATCCTGAAATGATTTCCTCAGTTTCAGGGTGTATAGTTGAAATTTACAGGTGGAATTCACACGTAACTCTCCAGGCCTACGGGATGAGGGCCATTACAGTAGAAGGGGACAAGTGGAAGCCCCTGGAACTTCACCTTCTTACCAGTCAATAAACCGGAAGAGTGGTTCAGCTCTGAAAGAATCACAGAAATTCGTGCCCTCCTCAAAGACCTGAGAGCTGCAGGGGTGGCTTCTACCGCGGGCCGC